TATATATATATATATATATATACATACACTATATTGCCAGTAGAAGGTATTGGGGGGACACTCCTCCAAATCATTGGATTCAGGTGTCCTATGAAATTTTCTTGCTACTAAATATTCCACAGTCAGCAACTGGGAACAACAGCAACTCAGCCATGAAGTGGTAGGCCATGTAAAATGACAGAGCAGGGTCAGCGCATGCTGAAGCGAACAGTGGACAGAAGTCACCAACTGTCTGCAGAGTCAATAGCTATAGACCTTCAAACTTAATGTGGCCTTCAGATTGGCACAACAACAGTGTGTTGAGAGCTTCATGGAATGGGTTTCCATGGCTGAGCAGCTGCACCCAAGCCTTACATCACCAAGTGCAATGCAAAGCGTCAGATGCAGTGGTGTAAATCACGCCGCCACTGGACTCTAGAGAAGTGGAGACGTGTTCTCTGGAGTGACGAATCATGCTTCTCTGTCTGCCAATCTGATGGACGTGTCTGGGTTTGGCGGTTGCCAGGAGAACGGTACTTGCCTGACTGCATTGTGCCAAGTGTAAAGTTTGGTGGAGGGGACTTAGTTCCAGTGAAGGGAACTCTTAAGGCATCAGGATAGCAAGGCATTTTGAACAATTTCATGCTCCCAAACCATGTGTGAACAGTTTGGGAATGGCCCCTACCTGTTCCAACATGACTGCACACCAGTGCACAAAGCAAGGTCCATAAAGGCATGGATGAGCGAGTTTGGGGTGGATAATATGACATATTATCTGACCACAACATTATATATCTTAAGTCCATACTAATCACATAATGGTCAACACGTTTTGTAGACTTAGACCCCATCATAAGGGCTAAGTGTGAAAAAGGCTTTAAGATGTACAGGAACATTCCCCATTGATAGTTTTGCGGTCAAGTTTTATCTCTACAAGATAAATAATAAATACATTGAAATTGCATTAATATAGTGCAGCAACAATAGGATTTAGGAACAGAGTTTACAGCGATCACCAAGATTCCAACAGTAATAAAGAAACATGTACTTACATAGGGCACCATCCAAATAAAATACATGGTTGCTACACTTAAGAAAAAAATGTAAAAGTAAGCAGCAATCAAATAGGATTATGAATTATTAAAACATACTAGTAATAATAATAGTGAATATATTACAAATGGTTGTATTTAAATTAAAACCAGATATAGCGATAGCAAAAAAAGAATGGCCAGACATTTAATAACACAGATTTATTAATAAACAGTGTATAACGAAAAACACACATGTATGAGATCACATTAACAAAATGTCTGAATATTACAAAATGCAAATCTACACACGTCTAAAATATGCCAAATGGATAACGCTATGACGGTCAGCCAATGAAAATAAGATATCAAGAGACCTTGAAATATATATTTTTTGCCAATCTTATGAAACTACATAAATCATCTGGTACATTGCTTTGATTCCTGCTTGTATTCCGGAAATGTTCTGCTAGGTTTTATTGAAATAATATAAAACATTCAACAAATATACAGAAAAGATAAATCTCTGCAAGAGGTTTTGTATTTTACAAAAAGAAAAACAAAACTGGCAGCCACCTATATCATAGGATTTGAATGGCATTTTCTTTAGGGTACATACTTTTTGCGTAAATAAAAGACAGGACAATATAAATAAATACTAACTGCACCTACATTGAAGCTGTGCATATTGTCTACATATGACTCTTGTTTTTGAAAACACAAAGAAAAATAAAGAAATAGTTAGAAAGTGCCATTTCCCCTTGGTTATTTCTGTGCCAATTACTCATTTTGTAATTTAAGCAGCAGAAAGTACCATTTGTTAGATCTATAGTAATAGAACAATTGTGTGTGTGTGGCATTGCTTCAATTAAGGCATTGGACACTTAAAATGGACACAGCTAATCTATAAAAAGCAAGACATATTTTTACAATTTTTAAGTTTTAAATCCATAAATAAAGTGTATCTCTATTCAAAACTTGTTTTAAGTTATGGGAAGCACGAGGAACAGGTAGGGTTATAAACAGCAGAAAAAAATGACAGGGGTTCTAACAATTCTCTCATCTATCAAAAACGTAATACAAATTCAAGTTTTATCTAGAAATACTGATCAATACACATGAGCTGCAGTATTATGGATAGTTGCTGCATGTCAACTGCCTAAGCTGATATACTGCACACATGAAGATGGTAAGCAATGTCATTGATTAACTAAAGGAATAGAAAATCTTCATTTAATAGTTTAAAGTTTGCTTTGTAAAGTGCATGTTCACTTTGCAAAATAAATGTTTATTTTGCTTAGTAAATATGGTAAAGCTGTGTTTACTATGAATACCCAATGATGTGCTAGGGAATTGCATGTACTGTATATAGATGATTGAAATTAATACAGCTTCAACTATTGGCTGAGCTGTCATGAGGCCAGAAACTGACACTCCAAAAGTCTGTGAGCATGTCACTAATTTAGAATGACCTTTGTGATTTCACATGGGATTATTTCTTCTGTTTAATTTAATAACTATTTATTTCTGACAAATTCTAAAATTAAAACAACATTGCATCGTATGCTATAGAGCTGACTATGCTGTATGTTGCATTCTGACACATAACTTTTCACAGTGAACTGTGATTGCACATACAGTAAATACATGGGAAGTGTTGTCATATTGCTTTGAGTTTTAAGTAAACATTTAATTTTTTTGTCCTTTTGTCATAGGTGAACCAAGTCCTCCATCTATCCATGGACAGCCAGGCTCAGGCAAAAGTTTTAAGCTGAGCATAACAAAACAAGACGATGGAGGGGCGCCAATTTTAAATTATGTAGTTAAATACAGAAGTGTGAGTTTATTATTATTATTTATTTATTATATTTCCTTTCTGTAACAGTTATTTGCTTATAAAGTTATAATATTTTAATGTGCATATTGGCTTGCCACAGCCTTAACTGATTGATAATGATATCAGGTTTATTTTTTTCTTACAACAATGTAAAATAACAATGATAGCTCAATTTAATGTATGTATATATGTTTCATTATAGTTTGGGCTCAGGAGGAACACCCAATAAAATACTGTTCAGCGGGGACCGGGTCTTTCAATGTGGCTTAAAGGGGAACATTGAAAATGTACAATTCCTTTAAATAACATACTTGAAGGCTACCTTAAACCGATTTCCGAAGTTGCGTTTCCTGTACAATGTACGTCTGCAAAAGTGACATTTAGAAAGAAAAAAAAGCTATTGCCCTTAAATGATAGCTCCTGGCTTGCTTTGCTCTGTTTGTAAAAAACTGTGGGGGCAGTGGATAAGGCCCTGGCATAGACTTTGTGGGGGTGTCGTTTTTTTCTTTTAAAAGTACAGTACACATTGTTTACAAAAAATGTGTACTATGCCGTGGAAAAAAATAACGGTGTGGGATCCCCCCAAAATCCATACCGGCCTGGCTGGCCGGAAAGGTGGAGGGGGAAGACAGCAAGTATGTGGCTCCCCTCCTAAACCATTCTTGGCCACATCCCCTCAACATTTGGGAGGCTACCTTGCTACGAGAGGCAAAACCTATCCCTTTTGCAAGCCACCTTGTTTCCATGTTGATCACTCAGTGGATTTGGAAGTCTGCAAGGGGGACTTACTCGAACCCGGAACCCCTCTTTAACAGATACCAGGTCCTCCCTCCCTGTTGTTGCAAAATACAGCTCTTGGGCTGGCTGCTTTATGTTGACATTCAGCACTGGTAGTGGTGTGAGAAGTGGCAGGTAGTTGCGGCATCACTCATCATGATTCATGTTGCATCGCTGGATTATGTCATTGACATTGAATTTACATCATGGGACAGTGTTTTTTTTTCACTGTTATTAGTTTTTATTTAGTTTTATTAAAGGGCTTTTTCACAGTGTCCATGTTTATTTGCTATTTTACTTTTTTATGAATACTACCAAGGAGTGATATGCACCCCTACTCATTCACATAGGTGGGTGACAATATATCTAGGGGCTCACTTAGCAAAAAAAAAATTCCAATGTTGAGGGCATGTGGCCAATGCGCATATGTGCACCGCATATTTGTATTAGACCATAGTTTTTTACGGGACCCCCAAAAGCTAGATTTTAATGCAGAAATAATGCACATAATGTACTGATAATGCACTTTCTAAACTCTGGTGTGGTGGCTTGTAAGAGCCCTCCCTATAATTGACAGTGTTTCTAAGACCCTTTGTTTGATGTGTGCTGCAACAGATATGGAGTAGTTAAGGAAAGATCATAGAAGGCAAGGAAAGTTAAGTGTTCCTGCTGGTGCTCACTGCTCATTGCTAAAAAAAAGCCTGTCTAGCAGATTAGGGTGATATTTGTGAGTTTGCAGGGACAATTAGAAGCTGGTGCTGATGGTGATAGTCTTAAATACATATCTCTATTTTTACATGCATTCAAAAACACATCTTCAGAGTTTATCTTGCAGTGTTATAGCACATTAGGGACAGGCACATGCTGGTGTTCATTGTTGAAAACATTTGAACTTTCCTATAGCAGATGTTGGAGGCATCTCAATATTTTTCCAGGCAGCTATACCTCTCTGTATGTATCACAACACGATCATGTATGTTTGGCTGCCATACCCCTCCCTTTCCTGTTTTATATTTTGTTATTTTTTATTTCATCCTTCATTTATTTCATCTTTCATTTTGTTTTTCTTGCAGTTATATTTAAGAAAAGGGTAGGGTTTAGTTTTTAGTAAGTTTTTAAAGGCTGTGGATTTACTCACTAGAATATTTTGGGTTCTTTTTTGTCAGTAAAATTAATACACTGAAAAGTTTTATCTTCCTATGAAATGCTGGCTGGTGGGGGTCCTGTTAACAAAGTGGCTTAATTATGATTTTTAATTATCTATATTTTGCTGGCTGTTTACAGTGAAATAAATACACTCTAATGCTAAATATTTTATTAAAAGACAGTGCACATACTTGGTACAATATTTTATTGTTTGGGAATAAATTACACCTTTATGTGGATTTATACATTAAACAAATGGCTGTTGGTAGTCCTGTTAAAGTTGGGGCTTGAGTGCATAAATTAATACTAGGAACACTGGGCCTTGTTTCTGGAACTAGATGACACTGTAATGTTGATTTCTATGTTTTAAAGTGGTAGTTGGTGATCCTGTTAAAATTGAGGCTTGAGTGCAAATAAATTAATACTGGAAACATAGGCATATCAATCTTTTGTGTTTTTTAAAGTTTGTTCTTGGAATAAATGACACTGAAAGGTTGATTTCCAGATTTTTAAATAGCAGTGGGGGTCCTGTTCAAAATGGGGCCTACTACATGTGAATAAATACTGTGTAAAGCCGGCCATACACTGTGCAGTTTTTCTTCTTCAGGAAACACGCTGCTCAAATTTTGGCTGAATTAACAGGAATTTGAGTTGACATGAGTCGGTTGTTGCTTACAGTCTGTTCCAAAGTTGCCTGTATTGTCTCTGAATCCTTAAAAATCCACCAGCAAAAAAATTATTATTAAAATAAGGCTACTCAGTTACAGATTTTACCTGCTGTGGTTAAGAACCTCTCAGATACATGCAGAAGGGCAGGCTAATACCTAAAGTGCATATAGATCCACCTCCAGCCAGTGATCCAGTAGCAATATCTGATAGTTTATTAAACTGATTGGTTGCACAGTGTGCACCCAATAATGTGCACCCTTACCCCAGTTATAAAAACTCAGCTTTTCAGTCTCCAATTGACCCCACTATGGTAAAGGCCCTCTCTGACATGACACACACAGCAAGGCAAAGCAAATGCATGTAGGGCACCTCCCACCAGTGATCCATTGTGAACACCCAAAAGGTAATGAATGTTATTGCTTGAGGACATCCTGAAAGCCAAAATTCCATAACCAGAAACTGATCCATCATGTTCAGGATGTGACAGGCAAAGTTTGTGTTTGTGTGAACATTTACATCCAAAGAACAGCCAGCAGGTTGGTTGCATTGCCACATCTAAGTCTGCCTGTCCCTGGAGAGCCTCCAGAGTCTCGGGTCTTTTGTGACTACGGTCCCCCAAGCATATCAGCTGAATAACTATGTTGAAACATTTTGCCTGAGAAATTGTGTAGGCTTTGGGATGCTTGGAGGGGACTGTTGGTTCTGAGGAGTGACCGCCATAGGTCATTGAGGAGAAGGAGGGACAGGTGACCGCTCTGTCACTATCACCAAGGTGCAGGACACCAGTTCCAGCATTATGCCCCATCCAGTATCCTTCCCATCTGCCATCTTATTTGTCCGATTTACAGTGAAGGTCATATACCATTCCTGCCCATGCCTGCTGAATCACATGTCTATAGTCATGTGGAGCCTGTAACCATGGCCCAGCTGTCGAAGGCTGGGCATGGCATTCTGGGAAAAATGGCATCTGGGTACCTGCCTCTGTAGTGAAGACTTGAGGCCTATGCTGCTGAACTAGTTCATGGAGCAGTGACACGTTTTGCCCTTTCACCTTTAGTGGTCAAGAACCTTCTCTGTACAGTTAGTGAAAGGCCTTTTGCTGCCTACTTTTCCCATTGAAGTTCTTCTCTTACCTGGCTCAGTGGTGCATAGTCATGTGTTTATTGATGCAAGTGATGCCTAAATGGCTTTTACTTTTACCACAGCTGATATGCTACAGGCAGAGGCTGTAGATTGTTGGAAGAGACCCCCAACATCCATTTTAAAAATCAATATTAGAGTGTTATTTATTTATTCATTCAAAAATGCCCCTAGAGATTGTTGTTCCTAAAGGTGCAGTATTGAAGGCGCAGCCACTTTAAAACCTATAAATCAATATTAAATTGCATACTATGTAAGCCCCTTTTGTAGGCCACATTTTCAAAGGTAAAAACCAGGCGAGTTTGTTTGTAACATATCTCCTTGTCACCTGCCATAAGGTTCCCCCATCTACCCCTATTCCACATGCCATTAGTATCTTAGCTGACTTATCTTCCCCATTATATTCTAAGTTTCCCTTCCTCTCAATAATAATTTAAATATTGCGCCAACCTTCCTATAAACCTCTTTCTCAGCACAATGAACTCCCTTCCATTTAGGTACAAACCATCCTAAGCATATAGGTTGTACCCTAATGGAAAGTGCGCTCAGTGCTCTAGAAACCCAAATCCTTCCCTCTTACACCAGGTCATTAGTCATGCGGTTAGCTCTCTAAGCTTCCACTGTCTTTCCAATGTTGGAAATGGCACAGGCAATATTCCCAAGAATATTACCTTTGGAGGTCTTCCCCTTGCTTTCAGACTAATTTCTAGATGGATCCTCCATCTTTCATATGTTATATAATTTTTTCCATCACAGACCAAGACAGCCCAGCAGCTCTCAGTTATTTCTCCATGCGGCCTACCACATGCGGAACCCTGGTGCATTAATGTGGTTTAAATTGTGCTTAAGCATTTTCTGGTGCATTTACATGGATTTACCTGTTCCAAAAAACAGTTAAGTCACCATAGTCAAGGTATCTCAGATAGAAGCATATCTTCTATTTTTCAATACGATTGTAATATTAACTGATATTGAGTTTTGCTACAAATAGTGCTATGCTAGATGAGCATGAATTTACTTTGTTTGTGAAGAACAATAGCTGCCATAGATGTATTTGGCCAGTAATTGAGTGAAAATGCCCACCAAAAATGAGCAAATGTCTTGGATTTGGCCATACTTCTTCCACTATGGCTGGCAGTAATAATAGTAGTAACAATAGTAAAACTAGCAACATGTTTTCAAAACTCAAAGTTTGTGAAATATTCGAAGCATACAGCTACGTAAGACATATTTATTAAGGCATACATGGTCTAACACAGTGTTTCTCAACCTTTTTCCAGTCATGACACCTTTCAAATATATGCAAAATCTCGAAACATCCCATTGTGTGAATGTAAAAGTTTTTAAAAAGTGTGCCCCCTATACCCCATGACCAATATCAAATCTTTATTATAGACAGGGGTCTGGTTTGGATTTTAAGAAGATTTTAAGAAGGACCCCAGCCAAAAAAAGCAAAAAAAAGACAACTGAGAGTTTCCCCTTTCACATCAGAAGCCCCCCTTCCCATCAGAAGCCCCCTTCACATGACAGTCCTCCACTTTCATATAAGAAGCCCCCCTATACATCAGAAGGTCTCCCCTTCACTTTAGAAGCATTCTGCGCATCAGAGTCCCGCTCTTTGCAAAGGCTGATCTAACATACTAATACCCGATAGTACTAGTAACCTAATAATACTTATACTAACAAACTAATACTAAAGCTTTATCTATCTGTATTTTGCATTGAGTCTTAGTAAATGGTTGACGTATGCTGATTCAACAACATTTATTAAGGAATTACCAATTGTCTTAATTTTAGCAACAATTATTTACTTAAATAAAGACAAGTGGAATGCAATAAAAAGAAATGTATTTGTTAATTAAATATTGAAGAATGTCTTGTAAATGACCTACAGATAATTAGGTTAGGTCAAGATTTAAGCTGCTATAATCAGCACTGAGAAAGATGAAGACATGAAACAGAAGTAAGGTTAGGACCTCACATACACCAGAGACATATAAACATACATTAGTATAAGAGTTAACGTTTTACTGTTTTCTTATACAGGTCTATTCTGAAAAATAAGCTTATATGGTGTAATATGTCAAATAAAAGGAAAAGACAGAGCAAATGGTAGAATTCTTAATATAAAAAAAATGAAATCTGAAAAAAATAATAACACCACCATGGAGTTGGGTTATATAAACGGAACCATTCACAAAGTACTCTCCTGTGAACTGAGTACATTTGCAAGTCAAAAAATTGTCCTCACATGACTTGTTTACATTGAAACACATACATTTTTGTTTGCAAACAATAGGCACATACCGGTAATTAGTGGGTCAAGCAATGAGATGCAAATTGTGTAGCTGCTGTCCATTTTAAATGTATTTTCACTTTTCAAAGCGACTCCTCAACATTTTGTGAAATTTTGTTAAAATATCGGAAATTTGGGCTAAATGAAAAACTGTCATATTCCTGCATCCCTTATACTGAACACTGCCGGGTAAAGCATGTTACTTCTGGCATAAAGGTTTTTTTTGTATGTTACATGTAGATGACTATCTCCAGATCCTGCCAATTTTGGTAGGGATGATCAGGATGCTTATAGATGACTACTTACAAAAGATACTAATGGCAGTGGAAGAACAATGCCGAATCATGACTAACTGGCCACCTAATGCTTTATACTCAGCTATCCAAACAGATAACCTAGATCATCAGTATTAGGAAGACTAACATCATCCCTTTCTGCCATTGCAATCAGTGTGATTACTCTCTACTGCTTATCCTGTATGATCCACCATAAAAAATATAAGCTGAGACTATATTTATATTAAGTCCCACACCTGAGCTGCCCAAACCTAACCATGATCTGGCCAACCCTGGACCAATCTTTGTGAGTTGGACTCTCAACCTTGTAATGAAAATAGTAGTTGAAAACAAATGCTAATAGCTGTTAAAAAATAAATGTTATAGAGACGACAATGGGACTTATTTTTTGCTCTACCCAAAATCCATTTATGGTGTATCATGTACAGTAAGCAGTGCCTTCCACCTAATAGATGTTTCAGTATATGATGCAGATTTTGTCCTCAGGGAGCAGAAAAGAATATCACTTTTTGTATGGTATGATCACAAAGTAATTTCTAAGTCAATGACTAATAATTCCTTATGTATGACCCTCAATGTTGAAAATTTAGATCCATTTTTTAAATTTGTTTTGAAGTTTGTGTTAGATCTTAACAATGAACTAAAGTCAAATGGATTTTATACATGTGCATTACAAACATTCATTTTATTTATGAATTGTTTACATTTAAAGCAATTAGTAAAATATGAATATCGGTAAATTGTTGATTAACACACACATTATATAGTTGTTAATTTGTGAGCAATATATTGTGTAATGATTACGTTTCTGCTTCTGTGAGAGCCTTGTTCTTTCTTGTGTTATAGTCGCATTCATTCTTTGGGCATTTCCAATAGCATCCATCTTGTTTTGACATGCAGTAAGCTATTATTTGGCATAACATAACTTAGTTTACAGCTTCAGCTTATAGGAATCTGTTCCCTTGCCCTGGTCAAATAGCACATTTATTCCTTACAGTTTCTATCAGGTGCAAACCAAGCTATTTACAGTTTGCAATTAATTGCAACACATTTCTATTTTTCAATTTAACTGTGACCAAAGGGAGCTCTTGTACATAATTGCTTTTATAATATAAGCACTACTACACTTTATCTTCTATCTATGAGTTAGATGCTCTTGTATTTTAAGTAGTTGTTATAATTGTCTCATTTGCATTGTTTTGCAAGTTCAGCTCATTCCCATGTGAGATAAGTATGTTTTTTTTGCATATTTTTGGGTCTTTTGCTTGTGAACAAACTTCTCTTTTAACTGTGGAGTTTTGAAAGAAGAAAATTACACTGTATGTTACATTTTATGAATTGTATGGTGTGAACTGAATTATAATTATTTTCCTTATCTATTTGAGTCCCCGGGCCTTTTTCTCCTTAAATCCCCCTGAGTTACAGAGTATTTAACTTTTTTGTTTCAGTACTGCACGTCATATCTTTTAGGTCTTCTAGGTTTTGTAGCCTGCCATAATGTATTCTACATAATTGTTTCAGGAAATGTTGGGGTTCAATTTGGTATAACATTTGGATGTGTATATATATAGATATATCTATATATAGATATATCTATATATATATTTGTTATTTGTTTATTTTTTTTCTATGGGCCAGACCGGATCTAGACCCTGCTCCCCATGCAACTGTGCAGCAGCTTCTTCTACTATTGCTGTATTGCTGGTTGCAATCAGTCAGCATTAGATCAATACAGCAGTGAGCTATTGCTGCAGGGAAGCACTCTGTTCAGTGATGAAGGGCTGTGATGTCACTTGTGGTGTTACTCTTATGGCCTAAGATTCTGGAGTTAGCACTGGCTGTCACAGACATTGCTAGTAGGTGGCCCGCAGAGGCCACCAAGACCAGCACCCGTTTTTGATATGATTACTGTGACTCAAGTAGTTAAACTATATATTATTTCTATCAGTACAGATATGCCAATGCTGTTTCATAAGAAAAAGGCTACTTTTAAAGTAAACTTCATTAAAATGTGAATTTAACTATATATAAAAACAAAACTTTTTTTTCTTTTGGATATAGTTAGAAAATGGCTAAAACCCCTGTCTGGTTTTTGTTTTGCTATCTGTGTTTCATCACTGCATGTCCTGTAGACACAAAAGGACGTGAGAGAAAATCCCTTGAAAGCAAAATATATATTTTTTAAGACAGTTACCATCAAAATAGTAGATTGGGACATCATACCAGAGGTTAGACTGCATCAACTGACCAAGACATAACACTGGCTGTTTATTATCAGACAGTCTTGAATGCCAGCAATAGCCCTTTCAAGTAGCAACCATTTGACAAATCAAATCTAGAATGATTTCACTAATTTTGGTACACCAATGGATGCTTTTATGTATGTCAACTGGAGTTTACATATTAGATCTTACTTTGTTGACTTACTCTTAAACATGACATACTCTAATGAAAGAGTTATGAACAATCTGTTTGTTTTTTTTCCACAGAAAGACAAAGAAGATCAGTGGCTTGAAAAGAAGTTTCTAGGGAATAAAGATCACATAGTTCTAGAGCATCTACAATGGAATATGGATTATGAAGTTCAGATTATAGCAACAAATAGGCTGGGCCAATCTGAGCCAACAATGTATGAGTTTATAATGCCTCCAAAACCCAACATTATCGCTGGTACGTGCATTGTTTGTTCTATCACTATGTTGCTTGGTCTTTTTTTATTACTCTATAATCAGTTTTTCTGCTACAAGCTATTTAGTGAATTCCATCACTTCAAATATGTTACCTTTCTTTTGCATTTTAAATTATAATAAGATATGTTATATAGGATAGTGTTAAGGGGAATACTGTGTAATATGATAGAATAGTATTGCAATGATTGTTGATAAAATAAACATTCTTAAGACTGATGTCACCCCATGGTTTCTGTTAATGAAGGTGGTGACTAGGAGTATACTGAATATTGACTAGGAGCATTGCAAATAATGATCTTAAAGTTAGAGATGTTACAAAGCATGCAAACGTAAAGTAGTATTAAGGTCTGGGCGTTTTTTACCTTAAAGGAGAACTATGGGGTAAGTGTTTTTCCCACAGTTCTCCTAAGGGTCACTGGAGGACATAAACTAGCATCCTCCCATGACCCAAAGCTCAGTATATTACAAACTACAGCACGCGGTATATTGAGACCGCCGCAGCCGGGACGGATCCCGACATTACTGTCGAGATTCACCCAGCTGCGTGAGTGACAGATGGCTCTGCCAGTCAGAGCTGGAGGATTGGAGCGGGGAATCTGTGACTGTGACAGTCACGGCTCTCTGCTGGGACATGATCATGAAGGGAGCGAGCGACGATATGTGTTCGCTCACTTCCCGTTCTATTGAGCCAATGTGTGACAATTTAATTGTCGCACGTTGGCTCGAACTATGAGGTTGAGTGAAAATCACTCACCTCATAGTTCTCCTTTAATGCATTCTTTACATTAGGGTAAAAACTACCCAGAACCTTTTTCTTCCCCAGCCCCCCCGCCCCAGCCCCTCCCCGCCCCTCCCTGTCACCCCCCACACTTACCTGTCAGCGACGCTCGTCCCCGCCGCCAGTCCCAAAGTGATCCTCCATTCCCTGTACTTCCTAGTGGCAGGGGGAGGATACTGATGGCAGAGGAGCCATAAGCTTCTTCTGCCATCAATCAAAGTGTTGGTCAGAAAGAAGGGGCATGGCCTGCCACAGGGCTTTGTGTGTCTATGGACGCACACAGCCACTGCGATCACGAGCGCGCATGGGTGCCTCCGTTAGCCGATGGAGGCACCCGTGCAGGGTTGCGGGGGGGAAGAGCACTGCGGGGACCCACTAGAAAACGATGAATTTAAACTTTTAAAGAAAAAGAACAACAATCTCAGGAAAAGGTGGGTGTCCTAATAGCAACTATTTAAAAAAAAAAGAAGGTTTGATATCGCTTTCAGTGTCACTAAAGTAAAAAAATAATCAATTATCATTTCTTTCCTCATGTTTCTTTTAAATTCTGTGTAATTTAATGTTTATAAACATCTTAGAATCATTCCAGAGATCCCCATCTGTATTCAATGCCTGTGTCTACAATTTATTACTGCTCTCTCGATATCTGCCTTTGTAGTTACCCATTCAGATGCACCGATAGCAGAAACAAGTGTAGGGATGATGAGTGTTGAGCTCAAGTGAAGAACACATCCCTTGCATCCCTTTAGATAAGTTTAATCCTCCCTGTTCTCAACTGGATGATGCAGACTTTAGCTGTGCAGTGTGCCGGTTGCGTGATTATTGTTCAAGAATAAGGTCTGATTGAATGTAATCAAGCAACTGATCAGCAAATTGCACAGCCAAAGTCTGCACCACTCCATGGGCAGCAGGAAGAAATATGCACATCTAAAGGGTTCCTAGGGATGTGGCTTAGATAGAACAGCAATATATTGACTGGGGGCGCTGCAAGGAAACATGACAGATGTCGTTTTGCAATCAGCAAAGCTGACATATCCCCCCCTTAGCCCCCTCTCCCCCGTGCTGGCTGTTATGAAGAGCCAAAAATACTAAAAGCAGCTTCAGCTGCATGGATGGATTGAGGATGTGCACACACTTTTAAGTAAAAATATATATATTTCCACAATACTGATAGAGCATTTGAGTCAGTAATTAATGCTATTTAGTAATACTTAATGTCATGAATGTGACTTTAGCACTCCTGTAGTACAATGGTATTGTGCAGGTACTTTGTGAGACCTACTAGTACTTGTGCTTATTAGGGATGAGCCGAACACCCCCGTGTTCGGTTCTAACTCGAACTTTCGAACATGGAAAAAGTTCTAATTCGAACTTAGAACTCAATGCAAGTCTATGGGGGTAGAACTCAGAAAATTAAATGTCCCCATTTTGAAGCCTTATATGCAATTTATTGGCCATAGAAAGTGTATGGGGATCTGGGTAGTGCCCTGAATGACGGGGATCAATGAAATTTAAAACAAAAAAAAAACAAAAAAATATTTTTTTAAAGGAACAGTGATTTTTACATGATTTACAGGGTAAGAGTAAAAATGAAAAATTCCTTCAAATATCGTGCCTGGAGGTTCCCCATAACCTGCCTGTGAAGTGGCAGATCTGTAGGATGTATAGAACCTGCTGCACTGCTGCAGCAAAAAGTGACATTTAAAAAGAAAAACAAATGACATTTCAATTGAAGGTAATTGGTTTTCCTTTAATCTATTAAACAACTGCTTAAGGCAACAGCCTGTATGAAGAGGACACATTTTGGGACACTCGGAACAAGACTGCTTTGCCTCTAGTGCCACTGCTATAATTCCCCGCCGAGTGTGCTCCAGCAGGAACACCAAAGGGATTGTGTCACTGATGCATGAACTGTCCCTGCTCACCATCCTCGTCGCCTCCTCAAATGGTGACAGCACAGTGCATGCATCCTTAATCAGCAGCCAATGACGTGGGGAAAAAAACCCTAGGTCCCCTGAACCTGTCCTTGTGCCATACTCACACAGGTACTCATTGATGGCCCTCTGCTGCTTGTGCAGACGCTGCAGCATTGCCAATGTTGAGTAATACAGAAGTCTGATATATACAGAAGTCTGATATCTATATCTCTCTATATCTCTCTCTCTCTATCAATCTCCTTCAACACACTACACAGGGCCGCGGTGTCAGCAGCCTTATATAGTGTGCTGCAGGGACTTAGCTGTGAGACATGATTGGGCAGAGTCATCGTGACTTTGCCCAATCATGGCTCTATATTTGTACTGAGCCCTGATTGGCACAGTCTTGCACCTTACCGTATGTAGCCAATTTCCGTTTCGGACGGCGCAGTGCATTGTGGGATGTCCCGCGGTCGAACAGACCGCGGACATCCCATAATGTTCGGCGTTCGGCGAACGCTAGAACATGCTATGTTCGAGTCGAACTTATGTTCGACTCGAACATGCAGCCCATCCCTAGTGCTTATCTTATAATCAATTCCTGTTTGATAGGTTACCAGGACCCCAGGCTCCATGCAAGTCTTCCATTTTTGTTTGAGTTAACACTAAGCCAGCACCCTTCTGTAGCACCCCTCTCTCACCAGCCTCTTACTAGTACAATGCCAGAACCTCAGTTTACAGGGATAACACTTTGCATGGGGAGGGAGGCTTTATCATAGTGTAAGTTTACTCACTTTTAAGGACCAGATTGGTTCATTTTAAAGATAAATTCCAGGCAGATGTAAAGGGCACAAATGAATGCAGCCCTGCTATCATAAATACACCATTAAAGGTATTTTCAGCAAGTGTAAGTACCTGAATTATACCTGGTGTGAGGATTTTTCAGTCGATAAGGCTCATTTAAGGTCCCCACACACCTTGCGATAATCGTGCGATAACCGCGCGAAATCCCACAATCGTACGATTATCGTAAGGTGTGTGGAAGCCGTGCGACCTCTACTACTGTAAGGTCGCACGACTTTAAACTTACGAACATGTTTGAAAACCCGCCGAGCATTGTACGATGTTCAGCGGGTGTGTGCATAGTTAAAAACCGGACGGGCCGCACACAGCCCGTTCGGCATTGCGGTCATCGGAAGCCCGCCCCTCATCGCAAGTATGATCTGCCTGTCCAAGATAGGCAGATCGTACGTTTTTTTATGTACCTTACAACCATCGCAAGACAAAAGTCTTGCGATGGTTGTAAGGTGTGTGCCCAGCCTTAGTAAAGGCAAGTCGGCTGTTCACTTTGTAAGGGATTTTCACTGTGCAAGGGAAATTTTCCTTTAGCTTCAAGAACCGAGGAAAATTTAAAAAACTTGCAGATGAATAAATAATCATAAAGCAAATATACTCACCTAATTCCTGATCCTGCCGGCTGCTAGACCGGTCCCCACAACCTCTTAGACCTATCATGTCTAATGCAGATCTATTGACTTGCATAAGATGTGAAGACATTCCATAGCCAGAGGGGGAGCTGGTGAGCACTGACCTCCATGGAACAATTGCCAGAGTTCTTAATTTGTCTTGCTTATGATTGGGTTTTCTTTGCAAAGTGAATTTTTATCACATTTGCTAAGCTAAGAGAAATTTATTTGCAAAGTTCAGATTTGCTTGCAAAGTGAAGAACCTATTGTACAGCAGAGCTCAGGGGGAGGAAGAGGCATCACAATCAGCCAATCACCTGTGCTACAGTGCAATGAGCATGGTGATAGGAGAAGATAGAGTGACAAAGAGCTGAGATCTTCAGTGTGCTGCTTCTCCTTTCACTGCCCAGTTACAGGGTCTAAACCTGTAAGTGTTATTTAACTACAGAAAAGAAAATTGGGTTATCTGCCCTGCCAGACAAGGTGCTGTATAGTGGAGAGGGTGTAAATCTCAGAAATGCAAATACTTTGGCTAATAAAAGCCCTATGTGTGTGTTCCTTAGCTTAGTAAATTAGCAAGGAAAGAAATTGACCACTTCCTGGCACAAAAAGAGAATCACAAGAATTACTAAGCCTTTGGCATGTAAAACAATTAACATATATTTATTGTGGCAATGTGTATTGCTGGAATTCCCACACTGACAGGAAAGAAAACAGGCAAGACACTGCCATGTTTAGCATTTTGCTGCTTCCTAATGCAATTGCAACTATTTTAGGTTAACTTCATTTGGACTTTATTGTTTTCAAGTAAGTCCACATG